TGGCTCCTGGAGCAGGAGGAGGAGGAAAAGGAAGGAGGAGGAAAGGGAGGAGGAGGAGGAGGAAAAGGAAGGAGGAGGAAAAGGAGGAGGAAAAGGAAGGAGGAGAAGGAGGAGGAGGGACTCCGAAGGGGGCCACTGGGGAAGGGGGGCTTTGCGTTGGCTGCCGCATGCAGCTGGTCCTGGCGTGGTCGTACTCGGTGCATCGTCGACGACAAGACGAAGCGAATGAGGAGGAGGAGGAGGAGGAGGAGGAGGAGGAGGAGGAGGAGGGGGAAGATGGGGAGGAGGAGGGGGAGGAGGGGGAGGAAGACAAGCCAGGTGCGCTCGCGTCATATCTGGCATTCGACACCTCCCTCCCATCCCTTTCCATGGCGTAGATCTCTATTCGTTCAATCGAATATCGTAGCATTGCATAGCATTACATGGCATTGGTGTTGAAGATCAACGCGTAGCATGACATAGCATGGCGTGGCGACGCCCCAAAGTGGGGGGGGGCTTCTGCGACCCCAGAGATCAAATAATCGACACCGACTGTGTAATACTTCGATGGATTCTCCAGGGGGGGGCATTTTCTAGATTTTTGGGCCTATTTGGAAGGACCGAAACCATGCCGTGGCATGACACTGGAAATAATGAGGCCAGCGCTGCAGCGGGAGCACGATTCGGAACGAGCGGAAGCGCAGAAATGAGGCCAGCGTTGCAGCGGGAGCACGATTCGGAGCGAGCGGTGGCTGCTGTAGCATGGCGTGGCGACGGCCCGAAGTGGGCGACCCAAGAAGTCAACGAATCGACACCGAATGTGTAATCACTTCCGATGGTTTTTGCGGGGGGCCATTTTCTAGATTTTGGAGCCTATTTGGAAGGACCGAAAGCCATGCCGTGGCATGGCGCTGGAAATAATGAGGCCAGCGATGCAGCGAGAGCACGATTCGGAACGAGCGGAAGCGCGGAAATTAAGCCAGCGTTGCAGCGGGAGCACGATTCGGAACGAGCGGTGGCCCGAAAATGAATCCAGCGCATCAGCGAGAGCAGCATTTTAGAAACAAACTCAAGCGAAAACCCGTTTCCTGGGAATCCTGTGTTTAAGAAACTAGTACGCGGAGGGGGGCCGGCCATTTCCCGGACGTTACCGGGGGAGAGAGGAGAGTAGTATTCAGATCGTGTACTTGTGGAGGAGGAGGAGGGCGAGAAGGAGGGGGAGGGGGAGGGGGAGGGGGAGGGTGGTGGCGAACGGGGAAGGCGAAGGAGTCCGAGGCAGGAGGAGTGGGAGGACCTGGGAGGGTCTGTGTGTCCTCGTCTAGGCCCATCTGGCCGTCCCCTGTGGCCAGGGCATTTGCCCACCCCCCGTTGAAAGCACGTACACTCTGGGCGATGCTCAAGAAAACCCAAGTTTTCGGCCAGAGTCTCGAGTATTCTCAATGTTTCAATGTAAATCCCAAGATTTGAGTAGACATTCTGGGTTTTGATTCAAATTCTGAGACTCTGAATTTCTTAACCCATGATTTCTTAAGCATTTCGCAGGGTGTACGCCGCCTTCTGATACAGCCAAGTCGCTGAATGAAGTTGCAGGTCGGGTTCGGCAGGGGCTCGCTGTTCCTCGAGTCTGGCCACCATGTTTGTTACTCCAGATATCCTCGTGCACTCAGGCACCTCGTTTTGTTTGTTTTTTGTTTGTCGAGTCGTTTGTTTTATTTCGCAGCCTTTCCTTTTTGCTGTTTATTTGTTTGCTTTTTTGTGGAAGGGCTTTGGCTTCTTCATTTCAAGCAGCCTGCGTGGTTGCACGATGGGGCAGTCGCCATGTCCTCTGCGCGATATCTGGTTGCCGGCCACGCCGCCAGGGCGTTTTTCTCCATCGCACTGCCGTTTTTGGCGCTGGGAGGTGCAATACTTAGTGGGGTTCTTGTTTTCTTCTCACCCGCGTCGCACCCGCGAAGCTCACATCTCACCTCCCTCCTCCCCTCTTCCTTCCGGCCCTCACCCACGCGCAACGCATGCACGGCACGTGAATGAGACACGCGTCTACATACATTCGCACGCATGCACACACACATCAGTTACCGCTAGTGCACACCTGGCGTGTTCACTGCATCATATACCCAAGACGCTTGCTCCACATACGGGGCACCCACATGAGACACACGTCCACATACAGCCTGACACAGATCGTACACATACACATGATACACCGACGCAGACCTAGTCACTCTCGTGCACTCACAGCGCGGTCTCTATGCGCTCCTGGCTCGCAGGGCAGGGCAGGCGTGGCACTTTGTCGACACCAGAGGGGATGCGCAGGGGGTGGTCCCTCACCGCGGTCTCTATATGCTCCAGGTTCGCAGGGCACGGCAGGCGTGGCACTTTCTCGACACAATGGGGGGGTGCACAGGGGGTGGTTTCTTACCGTGGCATCTACGGGCCCCAGTCGTCCAGGCACAGCAGGCGTGGCAGTTTTTCGACACCATGGGGGGTGCGCAGGGGGTGGTCCCTCACCGCGGTTTCTATACACCCCAGTCATGAAGGCACAGCAGGTGTGGCACTTTCTCGACACCATAGGGGGTGCGCAGGGGGTGGTCCCTCACCGCGGTCTCTATATACGCCCCGGTGGTCCAGGCACAGCAGGCGTGGCACTTTCTCGACACCATAGGGGGTGCGCAGGGGGTGGTCCCTCACCGCGGCCCCTATGCGTGCCAGGGTCGGAGAGCGTGGCAGGCCTGGCACTCTCTCGACACCAGAGGGGGTGCGCACGGCGTGGTCTCTCACCGCGGCCCCTATGCGTGCCAGGGTCGGAGAGCGTGGCAGGCCTGGCACTCTCTCGACACCAGAGGGGGTGCGCACGGCGTGGTCTCTCACCGCGGCCCTCACACAGCCGCGCAGGTGTCCGCCCTGGTCGTTCCACGACCACAGCAGCGTGGCACCACTCTTGACACACCCAGCATCATCACGTATTTGACGTCAGCTAATGATAAACACAAGGAGTAAATCGAAGTTCGGGGACTCTTTGGTCGGCGTAATTCTCCATCGTGCTTGCTGCCGCCTCTTCTTTTTCTTCTCTGCTTTCTTCCTCTTTGGCGCGGGAGGCAGCAAGGAAACTTTGTGTGTTTCGTCATGGAGGGGCGAAGAACCCAGACCCTCGCGTTGTGGAAATAAACGCGACGGGAGGTTTATACATATAACGGCGCATCTGGTCCGGGGGCCCGGGGCCGGGACCGCGACCACAAATGTGGGGACCGGGGGCTCTGGAGGCGCCGGAGGCCCACAGAATGCCATTAGAAAGCGCCAGGAGAGCTCCAAGACGCTCCAAGAGAGACCCGAGACACCCAAAGGTCGCTCTAAGACGC